CTTCCTCCTTCACCTTTTCCTTCACCTTCTCCTTCCTTCCTTCCTTCCTTCCTTCCTTCCTTACTTCCTTCCTTCCTTCCTTCCTTCCTTCCTTCCTTCCTCCTCCTCCGTGGTAGGGTATCTTTGATGTTGTATCTCCGTCTTCTGGATCTGCCTTGTGTTCTTTGACCTGGAAATCACAGATCTGAAACATTATTTTCATATTACTTAGGATTAGGTTGGCAGTGGCACTTGACGAATGAAAAATATCTGGGATGGTATGAATGAACTTTGGGATTTATTGATAAATAGGTTTGAATGAATTTGCTTACCTTTTAAAATGTCACCCCCTCCCATCTTTTTTAAGTAGCCCATTTAAGGAAAAAAAAGCTGTGGTTTCTCTTTTTTAAATACAAGCAGGTAGTTTTTCATAGCTACCTTCCATTTTTTTAAAAAATGAACATTAGATAGTCGTGAGTATATAAATAATATTGCATGCTACCCTGCCTCCATGGGTTTTCTTTTTCTGGGTCTTGTGGAAGTACTTAGAGTTTAATTAGACATTTAATGTATTACGTACAGACTCTCTGCCTTCTTTGTTTTAACCTCTTTCCCCGTCTTTATTTTATATTTATTTATTTATTCAGTGAATTTATTTGCCACCCATCTTGTAGCAAACTACTTTTATTCCGCTCTCTTGGTGTAACACTACATGCAGCTCCCAGCCCCTAAAAACTCTCTTCTCCTGCAACTCCATCAGGCCTTTGTTTCTAGCTTTATCCATGCCAGAAATAGGAGGGGGGTGGAGGAAAGGAGAGGAGAAAGAGCCAGAAATAGGACTCTTTAAACAGTTGAATAGATCTTTTCCTTCCCTGTGATATTTTCAGGATCTTCCACAGTAAACTACTTGTCATTTCACATAGAGAAGACTCGGCTGCCTGACTTTTTCCCTTAACCTTTTTATTTCTTTAATACAGGTCTGTCCCTAACCGGAAGCAGGGAAAAATTAGCTAAAGCAAACACTCTGGTTATGCTACTTTTATGCAATTTATTGCAGATTTGTCCTCCAGAGAGGCGCCTTTATGTTTGGTAGAAAAATCCATCTAGTTTGGGTCCATTACTGAAATGCTATTGCGGTGTAATAATATCTCAGGTAATGGGGCTACACGCCATTTGGATACTGCAAGGTAGTTGCAGTCCAACGTTATAATCTCTAGTGAGCCATTTCAAATTTGATTTTCTTTTAGGGGAGTATTTTTATTATTATTTTTGCTATAAATTAGCTTTTTCTCACTTGGGAGCCTCACAACAGTTAGTGGAACTGCAGTCTGCATGTCCTTGCATTCCTGAAGCCCTCCATCATCCTTTTCCTAACTGATCATTTGCAAAGCATTTTGATATTGCTTCATTTAGAATAGAATGGAATTCTTTATTGGCCAAGTGTGATTTGGACACACAAGGAATTTGTCTTTGGTGCATATGGTCTCAATGTACATAAAAATACATTCATCAAGGATCATAAGATACAACACTTAGTGATAGTCATAGGATATTAAATAAGCTATCAAATCCCACTAGGGAACTAAACAAAACAATATAAATCGTAAAGATTCAAGCAACAAGGTTATAGTCATAGGTAGAACAGGAGATTGGTAATAGGAAGGGTGAGAAGAATGTATTTTTATGTA